GTTGCGGGGCGGGGCGCTCAGCCGCGGGTCGGTCTCTTGCAGGGTGGCGTCGGGAGGCCGCTGTTCATCAATGTCTGCAGCTGGAAAAGGGTCCCGGCGCCCAAGGGCCCCGCTGACCCCACACCTGTCAGTGCGGGGCCGTTAGAAGCATCTGGCGAAGGAGGTACGTCCCAAAACAGTTGTGCCTCGCCCCGGATGCATTTCTTCCTGCACTACTGCATTGCGTGGCGATCACACGCAGATTGTCGCTGTCACAGGGGGTGGTGCTGTGCCGTGGCCAGCTCTTAGCTCGGGCTGTTTCTCTAGATGAGGTTGATAGAGTTAGCTCTGCCTGGAAGCCACGAATTAATTTCCTTTGCTCTTAAAATCAAGTAACTATAAAGAATACAGGCATATGGTGCCATAGCAATAATTCTGACACATAACTTACTTTTATAGACCTTTACAGCATTATAGATATTGCATATAACCCAGATGTTCTTCAGAGGGGACAAGAAAACCCAGAAAAAATGGAGCACTTGATCCATTTGACACTTAAATTTGTTGAGGAACGATGCAACCTTACTCTTTCTCATTTGTACACCATTGAATCATTCAAATTGAAGGGAAGCCTGGAAACGATGCAGCAACGTCTGAGAGGAAGGCAGAGGCCAACTCCACGTCCCAGTCAGAACACAAAGAAGGGTATGTAAAGATACGCAGTCACTCTTCTTTGAGGACCTATTAGATTCTCCAACAAATTTACTCAAGCCTCATCTCTAACCCAATTCTTGCCTTAAGCATAAACCAAACAATTCTAAGTAGAAGTATTCATACCAGATGTTAGTTTAACCTTACTGCCCTATCTGCATTCATCTCTGGCATTTTACAATTGAGAAACTGTAGTGACATTGGAACAGCATATTCCATTTTTCCTATATCCACTAGGCATGGGAACTCTCCTAGCATTTGATCCTTTGAGGTGCTTAGGTTTCTTCTACCCTGACCTGAGTAAAAGGGATTGCTGCTGTAACTAGTAGTCTGAAACCAACAACTTTTAACCTACTGGCAGTAAAACATCATTGTTGGCAAAGGAAAACTGCCAGTAACAGCCTTCAAGTGACAAAGCTGCCAATGACAGTTCAGTTAAAACTTTCATGATGTATTTGCCAAGTGTCATAACATTACACATGTAACAGAGTGGTATGTATGAAAAATTTCTTTTTCTTGAAAGAACTAACACTTGATGAGCTGCTACACACAATGGAAGCTGAGGACTGCAGCAATGCTTCGGTGCTGCTGAAGGAAGAAAGTGTGACACAGTCTAATGGGCATCTGATAGAGGAAATTGCTAGTACTGAAATGCCAGAAAAGCTAAGTACCCCCGTCTATGAAATGATCACTGTAAAGGATGCAAACAAGAAACCACTCAAAATTGAACTCAGAATTGAATTGCCTAAGGTTAGCTCTGTTTCTGAGTGCGATCTGAGAATTTCAAAGGTAAGCTAGCAGAAACAACGATCTTGTGTTTTCTGTATATTATCCAATTCCTAGAAATGTTCACTGCTAATTCGTTGTCAATAGTTAATCAAGTATTTTAATTTTCTTGGTTTAGGATGACATAATCATTGAAGTCCCTGAAAAATACAAATTACAACTCGATCTGCCAGAATTGGTGGATGAAGAAACAACTACAGCGGTATTTAACAAAGGAAAACGGGTATTGTTTATCACAGTGCTGGTTGCCAAGCCAGGTCCTTAAAGACTGCATTCTGTCCAGTTCATGTTCACAGATGACAGAACAAGAAAAAAAGCTCAGAATGAGAACCCTAACTTTTAGATGGTGATGAGTTGGGTTTCTTTAAATTGACCTTCTAATTTTCAGGGGTGAATACCTCAAATGCAAAATGAAGAAATATTAACACCACAAAAGTTAGGACAAAAATAAGTTAAAAGAATTGCAAATATTCAAGGAGTGACTTGAATATGTTAACAGCTGTAATAAAGGACCATAAATGCATACATGCTTTACTACATCATTCATTTTGCCTTAAGGTACAGCAGTAACAGTTGTGAAGTGTTTTTGCTGAATAAACTGATTACTGGATAAACATGGTTATTGCAGCTCTCACATGTTATTTAATGCTGGAACAATCAGCAGAGGTGTGTCCTACACCGTTCTACAAGTTGCCCTGCATGGTGTTCCTGGTCTCTTTAGGACAATCCCTGCTGATTTTAACTGGAATATGCTCTGTAGTAACTGAGTATGCTTAACCTCAGTTCTTACTGGTTTGGTAAACTCTGAATGAGACCATAAAAGCCAGCACGATTCTGTACCATTCAAAACAACATCTAGAGATTCAAAGCTCAGTAATGCTTGGAGTGAAGCTAGCAACCAAAAGCAATCTCACAGCACTTCAACTAGAACCACCTGCGTTATTTTACAGTAGTACACAAAATACATAGTAATACAAAGCAACACAAAACAACTTCAAGGATTACTAAGCATTACTAGAATTAATTGGCAAAGGGACAAACAAAAGTTTAAGTGCTCTTAGTTTCATGTCTGATTTGGTAGTGTGTCATGGCTTCTATGACACATGCATTACGACCATGCTTCTGTACTGATACTCATCAGATCAGAAATGGAATCAGACAAATTGGTTTCGTGCTGCAACTTTAAAATGCAGGCTGACAAAAATGCAGTGAAGTCCTAGCTTTCCCCATTCTCTGTTTCAGAGAGACTTAGATGGCTGCATTGAGACACTGTTCACTGGTTATAGTTGCAAGTTCAAGGTGGAATTCTGCTGTGTGAGCTGAGCTGGCCTGTTGCAAGATGCAAGCAGGACCAGAAGTCACTATCAGCACTCAACGCACAAACACTGGGCAGGATTTTTTCAGTTGCAAGTATTCCAGAGTGAAAGGTCTCTGTAACTAGAATTTGAGATGCGCTGCAGCAAGGAAGCCAGGGAGATTCGAGTTCACTGCTACATAATACTAATAAAGCATGTATAGTTTTGGAGCATTTGTGATTACAATTTAAGGTTAATAGGGTGAGTTTCATGATCAGACTGATAGGCTAAACAGCTCTGATTGTGCTACAGCAGTACAGTAAGCCACACACAGCTGAATACAAAAGCACTGGAAGATGTTTTAGTAGATGTCAATTCCAAACGTTTAATAGAACGTAGGTTCACTAGAGCAAGTCTGGAACCAAGGTATTTTAGAACATTAAAGAAAAACCAAACCTTTAATGCACTTTTTTGCTTAAGCCAGGCATGAAAACCAGGTATCATAGCAACCAGACATTAAATAGTTCCCACAAAAATATTTAATTTCCATAGCATTTTCTTCCAGTATCTTTAGTGGATGTTGCAGAACTTTACAGGAGACAGTACTTAATGCAATATACAGAATAACAGAACAGCTTTAACTTTTTCTTTCCTTTTTTTAAACTTCTACTCCCTTGCAATTCTCCTGGTCACTCTGTAATTGCTACATAGCCATCTTTTTTACATTAAGATTTCCATGTGGAAAATGGAGTTTAAGAATGTTCAGCACTGCATCCCTCTCAGGATACAATGACCGGGGTAACTGGACACAAGTCCAACAAACTGTCAAAGCATTTTACATACAATATACACATGGTAGCACATTTTGCTGCTTACTGAGGCTGGAACAACATAGACAATTCGGGGCAGAACCATTGTACCAGTGACTAACTCAGAGCTTCCTATGTTAGAATGCCTGGAAAAAAAAATTCCAAACATTTGAGTCATCATAGGATTAATATCCACTGATGGGATGACTAGCGTGTGATTTGCCTATATTGGGTTCCAGCACACAGATTCTCTTGAACATTCTGCAAAATGGTTACTTCCATGGCATCCTTGGCTGATATTAACTTAGCAAGAGGAACAGCAATTAAGAGTTTTCATACAAAAAGCACATGTAAAAGTCCGCAAGGAGACAAGCACTCCCTGTGGTATCTGAGAGCTGTGACCCCACAGATATCAGTGCTCTTTCACCTTAAAGTGCTCAAAAGGGATCACATAGCTGAGAGGGTCCAAACCAGTGCCAAATTCCAAGGAGAGATTTGGAATGATAGCACTTGGCCTTTGAGAAACTATTCCCAGGCGCTTCAGTCCCTTAGTGCATGTTATACCACCCATCCCAGCAGAACAGGATAGTAAGGGAATTCACCTTTTACTAACTCGTACGTTTCAGTTACCATCTCACCTGAACTCCTGTGAAGAGATGTTTATAATTCAAATTGCTAAGAACACTGAGGTGATGAAATTGCTTGGTATGCAACCCCCACCTCCCCGTTCACCCTAGTGTAGAAGCAGATGGCAGTATGCATACTGCCTGGATCATTTTTAAATCTGGGATGCTTAACTCTGTTTTGGAAGAGTTTGCAAGTTAACTGTATAAAAATACAGTATAGCTGTAATATTGCTGTGAAAAGCACTTTTGCAAACTTTCTCTGTACAGACTGGTAATAACATTACCAGATAATATAATACATATTTAAAATAAAAAAGGAACTCTTTTAATAAGTCTGAACACTCACGTCTAAATAGCTTGTTTAAAACAAAAGTGTGATCCAGAAAAATTCTGCTTGCATGGTTAAATTACAGCAGCATGGTTACTGGCTTTTCAAGGAAATTCTTGAATTCAGCAAGCCACTGTGCTCCAACTGCTCCGTCTACAACACGATGGTCACAGCTAAGTGTAACGGACATCATACTGGCCACATCAAATCTGAAAGAGGGAAAAAAGAAAAGGTTAATACAATCATCTGCAAGACAGTGCCATTAACAAAGCAAAAATAGCTTTTATCAGGGAATCAGCAATAACAGTTGGTGCTTGGCAGCAGACGTTTCTCCCTTTGGACTTCTGAAAAAGATTACGTCATACAGCAGAATTGTATTAATTCCTTTTCTACAATTAAGAAACACATTTGTACGTTCCCTTTAGGACAGGAAGCTCATCTATCCTTGAACCACATGAACAACCTCACTCAATTGAAGACAAACAGCCGTTTTACCAAATAACCTCCAGTTTCCCCATGTGTCAGTGACAGACTGTTAACACACATAAGTAATTCAAAACATTCTCCTAGATTTATGCAAGTTCAATCTTCAACCAAGGCAATGTTATATACAAAATACTTGAATTATAATCCCTCCCTTAGGTTTTCCTTAAATGCAAATTTTAGCAAGTTGTTAAAGAGGAGCAGGTGCCTAAACTGTTGTAGATCCCAGACTAGGCCTCAAAGAAAGAAACAGCCTCTTCTTAACTTGCAAAGAAGTTGCAAGAAAAATGTATGGCAGGTCATTCATCAGTCACTGCATTTCTCTTTAACCTGTCCCCTTTACACAAGATCTCACTGCACTTCTGAAGGTCATGAAAGCAGTATATCAACTTTTTTAAATGAGAAGCTCAATATATGCAGAATCAGATGCACACCTACCCTTTCTCATTATCAGCTGGCACTAGCCTTTTCTCTGAGGAACCAACAGCAAGGATGCAGGCTTGAGGTGGATTGATTATAGCACAGAAATTCTTAATCCCATACATTCCTAAATTGGAAATTGTGAAAGTACCACCCTACAAAACAAACACATTCACAGTCAAACTCACAAAAGCTATTTCATGTGGAATATTAACAAACATGGCTAAAACATCACAAAATAGGCTTTGCTCATTCTGAACAGCGCTTCTGAACAGAAGTCAAGGGCAGTAACGTTTAACAGCAATTTGAGTTTCTCACCTGGAATTCATGAGGTTGAAGTTTACCTTCTCGAGCTTTAGCTGCCAAAGAAACCACATCCTTACTAATGGAAGCCAGGCCCTTTATATGTGCATTAAACACAATAGGGGTTATAAGCCCTGCAGGAGTATTAACTGCAACGCTAACATCCACTACATGATTTCTGCAAGACACAAAGGAGATGGTAGTTACTCTAGCATAGTAACAAAGACCGTAATTTTCAGAGCTGTTTGGACTACTCTAAATTAGTATTAATTTTGCAACAATTATTTCACCTTGTACACTGGCCTTACATGCAAAGTTCTCAGCACCTCAATGAAAGCCTCTCACCTTTGCATTATATCTCTCCTCCTCCCTCCCCCCCCAAAACCCCACCAAAGGTCTGCTGTTTTGCCATGAGCTCTCTACTGAACAAAGTTTCTGGCTTTGACTGTACCATAAACTTACTGCCTGATAACTGTGTCCATCCATGATGAATTTGCCTCAGGCACCTTCAAGCAAGCCAGAGCAGAAGCTTTGATTATGAAGTCATTGACAGAAAGCTTAGTGTTACCTGAGACCATCTGTAAATAAAGAGATATGAAGCATCAGTTTGTCTCTTACACATTACCTCAGTTAACTTGGATAGTCACTGCCATGCAGGCTTGTTTAAAAAACTGAAAACAAACATACTACTTGTAAACATTAATATTTGAAGTGCCAAGATAGTTTAGGAGGCGAATACATCTCTTACAATTTAAGAAGGTACAACCTTTTTTAATGTCTGTTTTCCCCAAAAACTTGGCTTAGAATTATTATTTTGCTTAAATTTTCCTCTCTTTTTATTCTTAAAAACCTTTCTATCCTTCTGTCCAACTTCCCAGCTGGAATAACTGAACAACACCCAGCAAAGCGGCCCTCTTGGGGAAGTCAGAAATCAGTGCACAGAGCCTGGGTAAAAAGTCTCATTCTACCACAGACAGTCCAGAACAGGTAGAAAAGGCACTGAAAAGACTTCCTTTCCAAGCCAAAATGGCATATCACCAAAAAGCCAGGTGGGTAAGCCTGTGAGAGAATGCAGCCTTCCCCCCACACACACTCTCACCATGCCTAAATGCTTTACCTCATTGAGTTCTTTCCTTAGCACCAGTACTTCTCCCATATTTATATCAATAGAAAGGTAGTAGTGAGGTATTGTTTGTTTAGACTGCATCAGCCGCTGAGCAATGACCTGAAGGTATACAACAGAAGCAATGAAAATAAACGAACTTGGAAAACTCATGACTGCAAAGAATTCTCAGAAAGGAATAAAATCTTCTTACCTTCCGAATGTTGCTGATAGGGATATCTGTGAAGGTCCCCACTGGTGCTGCTGCAACTGCAGCAGCTGCAGGAACTGCCCCTACTTCTGGAGCCTGCAACCAGAGAAAGACAGCATAAATCACAGTACTATGCAAATACCAGTTCTTGCAGAGTAATTCGGTATGTGGGACAAGTACTGAGGTTAAGCTGCCTCTTGCTTAAGAGCAGCAGATATTTCAACTCTCTAGCCTCACCTCTTCAGTATCCACTAGGTTCTAAGTCCTATATTTGATTATTAAATGTAGAACTTCAGACATTTAAAAATGCAACACTGATATACACTGCTATGAAGCTCCAAGAATAGTAAGTCCTGCTAGATTGTTGTTCTGTATACAGCAGAGGTATTCTAGAAGGCACTCACAAACTGCACTTAGCCACATCCCCTCCAGCAGCACCCAAAGCAACACTTCCATCATCTCATATAAAAGACAAGCAATTGAAAAATGACAGATTAGTGGCAACAGTGACAGCAGGTTCTTCATTCATAAGTCTGAGTTTCATTCTAACTGCCACTTTTAGCAATCAGTTGGGACTGGGCTTACCTCAGTCCATAACAATGTTGCAACCAGATGAAGGGTTGGGAATACACAAGTTTGTTTTACCCCCCTCAGTGAAACACCGAAGGACAAATAAAGGAAGAAAACTTCATCCGCGTTTCTGACAGATTAAACTTTACAACCTAACAGTCACCATAGCCCACACAGTGTCACAGCCCAACCAACCCAGTGATAACAGTTCCATATAGTAACTGCATTTCTATAGAGCATTTCCATCGCTATAATAAAATATCTGTTCTTACAGATCTCATGCCTACTCACTGGAGCAACCTTTGATGGCACAAATGACTCCACATCTTTCTTTGTGATTCTACCATCTGGTCCAGTACCTAAAACGGTCAAAGAAAAATATAAGAGAATTTCAAGTATCTGCAATAGGGCATTGCTTCTAAAGGTACCAGTTTTATTCAACAGAGAGAAGTCACTTAACACAACCTCTGGTGAGGACAGCTGCATAGTCAGGATGTTCCTGATAGGGAGGAAAGAAAAGAATAGGCAAGTATGTATGTAGGAGGAGAGACACTAGATAGTGAAAGTAAGGAAGCAGAAAGGCAACCTACCTTTCACTTGGGCAAGGTCAATTCCTTTTTCTGCTGCGATTTTCTTTGCCAGGGGACTAACCAGGACCCTTCCTTTCCGGGGAGGCAGCCCAGCTGTAGGGACTGCTGGAGTGGCAGGAACAGGAGGCTGAGGAGGCGGAGCAGCAGCAGGAGTTGCCACCACCTTAACAGAAGAATAAAGCCATTAGCTTCAGGATCATTCAGCAAAAGCTTTGAAGGTACAGTGAGAGACCAGGACCATCTAATTATCAGTCTAGAGAATAGCAAAAATAGTCACTAATCTAAAAGAATTCTCAGATTCAGAGAAGTTTCTCAGGGCCGGAAATTAAATCAGAAGCTTCCTGAGACCAACTAAGCTGCTGAAGTATACACCCAAAAAAAAAAAGGTGAAACAAGTAACTTATGCTCCTGGTTTTTAAGGATGAGGCATTAGAACTGGCACAAGCAACAGGTTGGAGAAGAGACTGTAATGAGTAACTATGTGCTCCAGTTTCGGGAGGGCAAATTAGCAATTACTTCTTAGGTCACCTATCACAAACATGAGCTGGCCTTTCTTTCACAGAATCACAAACATTACTGTTGGAGCAAGTGCCTCACACTGTCAAACCAGCAGAATAGTTCAGATCAAACTACTTCGTGGTGTCCATAACCTCTCTCACACTCTAAGAATTGTCCTTACTGGAGGAGGAGGACTGGGAGGAGGAGCTTGTGCCTTGATGTCTGTTACCGCTGTGGGCTGGTAGTCAGCAAAGGCTGGAATATCAGACTCTTTCTCCACAATGATGCAGAGAGCTGTTCCTAATGGCACATCTCTTGTTCCTTCAGGCACTAAGATTTTTGCCAAGTAGCCTTCCTCCTGCACTTCAAAGCCTGTAAGGGCAAGAAACAAAACTGGTTAAGTGCCTGATGCAGCTGAGGAGTTCCTCTAAATGCTGCTTCTAAAGACTTTGGTAACTAAAACTGTGTCCTATATTTATTAGGCAAGAGAATCCTTTTCAGTGCAACTACAAGGGAAAATCTCCACGCACTGCACATTACTAAGAAGGATTGATAAAGAAATAGGAAGCGGTTTTAGGAGCTCTGATAAGTTAGCTCTCCAATGGAATGAGAAGTTAACAAGACTTGTTTTGGTTGCCCCAGAGCTTCATGTCCTGAGCAGCTAGGAGAACAGTTAGAACAGAGGGAACTCTGGATTCTCCTCTTTAAAGGGCGCCTCATCCATTCTTGGCTTTGGAGTTGACTCACCTATTGTGGCTTTATCTGTCTCAATTTCTGCCAGTAAGTCTCCCTCACTCAGTTTCTCCCCAACCTTCTTCTCCCATCTCTGCACCGTGCCCATTGTCATGGTAGGTGACAGGGCAGGGAGAGCGATCTGTGAGGTCAGAGAATACAAGAGGATTAGATTTTGGTAATACAGAAGGAACAGGAACATAGTTTTAACTCCTGACTAAATGCCAACCTAAAGAAGTAGCTAGCCTTTAATGCACTCCTAGATCTGGCTCCATTACAGCAAAGAAAAGTGCTATCTCATATTGCTAGCTAGCTTCTTTTATCAAAGCCTAAGCAAGAAAGCAAGCAAAAGCAAAGAGCAAGAAATCTGTATCTCCAAATAATTACCACCACCATCACATTGGGAATGTCTTGCAGCTGCTATCTGCAGAGCAAAAAGGAAGACCGAAGCAAGTAATTTTGTGACAAACAGGTCTGGCCCCTTTAAAAGCTATACAGACTTATCTTCCAATAAGCACATACATATTGCTGTGCAACAAATACAGCACGGGTGCGTACAGCTTCAGAGCAAAACTGGACAGATAAGGCAAGCACTGTGAAATAAGCACATTTAGTAGCTAAAACACGTATCAAATTAAGAAGCCTTTAATTAATTCTTTGTTTAATTACTGATTTTGCATAACATCTCCAACAACTCAGTTCCCACATGTATCATCTGTGGAATGAGCTTTACTGTTTCAAATTTTCTTTTCCAAAGGAATGTCACAGAAATACCCTGCTGCGAAGTGCTCAAATACAACAACGGTAGGTGTACACTTCAATATCTAAGCAAGGTAAATAGATTATCCACAAATACAACTCATTAATAGTCACCCACAAACACATCTGGTGTGTTCATCAGAGTATCAGAGACTTGAGTTCTGCCCCTGCTTAGCAGGGCCTTCAGAGCTTATTCACAGTTAGCACAAGGTCTTTTTATACCAGCACTGTCCAAATAATGCAAATACAGCAGGCGTTTTTTCTAGACTGCATAACAATCCTGGAGAGACAAGTATCTCCTCTACTAGCAGCTGGGATGCTAACATTTCTGAACAAGCTTACTGGGACCTCCTCTAACACCTGCTTTAAGCATGCAGCAATTCAAGTGGCTCATACTCCTGCAATTGTAGCTAATAACTTCCCACTTCAAATAGTATTTATGATAAAATGCCCTGGTGCTTGCACTGCCAAAGATGGAAAATGAATGCAACAAGCCTTAAATCATACGCAATGCTCTCTTACCTGCATATGAGGAGGGTAAGAGCTGCCAGGAGCCTGAGGAGAAGGCTGAGGTGGTGGTGAAGGAGCTGCAGCTTGAGGGGGAGGCACTGAGGCTGCAGGGGGGGCAGATGCTGCAGAATCTAGAGTATAATTTTTAAAGGCATCAATATATTCAGGCCTAGAAGAAAACGCAGAACCACAAAAACCAGTCAGGGGTCTGTCTCTTAAGCCTTTCACGCAGACACCCAAGAAGCCCTGAGAGAGGAAATTCAACTCAAGGGTTAGCAAAATACATACTTTTCTACTGTGATACATATTATGGCCCCAATAGGAACATCTCTTGTTCCTTCTGGCACCAGGATCTTGGCCATGTAGCATTCCTCCAAGCTCTCAAAGCCAACTGTTGCTTTGTCTGTCTCCACCTTTGAGAGAGAACAAGACATCCTTATGCAGCAGCAAAAACCAGTGTGCTCAAAGCTTTCCAGTCTGATAGCACAGGGCCACACCACACACAGTTCTGGAAAATATCACCCTGTGGCACCAATCCTAGGTAAGTATGCTCTCAAGCAGGTTATGTGCTGCTCCTGCTCAGAAAGAAGAAAAGCAGCAACCAATTTTGAAAGGCTATGACTTGTTCCAAACAGCATCTGTGATCTTGAACTCAAGAAATCTGTCCAAGAGAGGGCAGCCAGGGACAAAACCCAGGATGCACACACAGCTCATTAGAAATGCAGCACAGCCTGTGCCCCCAGAATACCTCTGCTATGAGGTCCCCTTCATTGATCTTGTCACCCTCCTTCTTTTCCCAGCGTGCAATGGTGCCCATCTGCATCGTGGGGGACAGAGCTGGCAAGGCCACCTGTGAGGAACAGGGCAGTGTTATGACTCAGACAGTCCTCTGACGGTAGGAATCCCAAGTGTAGAGCAGAGATAGGTCCTCAGCACGGGCAAGAACAGAGGGCACAACAGAGAGTCCCTGCAAATTCCCAGCAGGTCAGGACTGCCTCCATCCTGCTGGTGAGACCCCAGAGCAAACCAGTACTGGGGTGCTAAAATGGGGCTAAACAAGAAAGGGAGAAGCTACGCCAGGGGACAAAGAAAGGTACAAGGAAAAAGAACAAGTGGTGAAGAAGGCGGTACCCATTGATGGCAGAAGGACTCAAGGTAGTAGCAAGGGTATGAGAACCGCGGGAGCTGGGAAGAGAACTGCAGTTTCTCCGAGGCAAACTGAGCTGCCCAATGACAAGAAACAAGACACAGAGAAAATGAAAGGCCTGCCCCCGAAGCAGGGGGCATACGAGACCCTGGGGGGGACCCAACGGCTACCGGGGCACAGACAGTATGGGGTAGGAGAGAGGAGAGAGAGCTGCCCAACTGCCTGGGATGGGGGGAAGGAGGAACCTCTCACCTTCTGGTGTGCCGGGAGGCTGCAGCAGCGGCACGGGATGAGCCGAGGCCAGGCAGGAGGCAGCAGGAGCCC